AATCCGTGCGCACGGATTTCCGGCGGCTGTTTTTCTTTTTTCACCACTGACCCCCGGCGGGCTCCGTAACTTACAGACACCGAGTCCTGAACATGACTGTCTGAAAATATTGTGAAACGACCTTGCACCACCTAGTGGCACTGTAAAAATTACTTTTACTGTTTTAACCTGGGTCTCTTGTTAATTAACAGAAAATATTTCCTTTGGGAAAACATATTTTCATTCTATAAAGGTTTAAATATCCAGACCTGATCTTATCTTAGATATATACATCAAGTCTGCGATTACTTTCACCTTTGTTTTACCGTTTTTATTCATGATTCAATTAAATTGATTCTTGCTATAGTTTTGTAATTTTGTAATAAATTAACTTACAGCCTTTTGTTGTCTCGTCCTTACAGCCATCATAATGATTTCCTGTTTTAACAATGACTGTTGCTGCATTGTAAATAAAACTGGGGGTTTATGAACTTTACAGCTCACATTCACATTTTAAAGAACATCAATGATGTCAGAAAAGACAGAACCTGTCAACATTTCATTCTTTACTTCAACTTCATGTTTAAAAAGTCACATCAGCATCTTAACAGTTAAAATGTGCTAAAGAACAGCGCTCTAAACTTCTACAAGCTGCTTCAGACAAATACACAACGGTTCAATGAGCATAAAAAAACAGGCCTGTATATGTATATTAATAAAAAGTGTAAAACAACTACACGTTAAAAAAATACATTAAACACCACCATTAATGAAAGGTTCAAATAAAACAGAAGTAGAAAATTGAGTGGAACACAGGAGAACTTCCAAACAAGCAGAGAGGACTTTAATCAAACATGTCGTCGTCCTCCTCCTCCTCCTCGTTATCCGACTCGTGGAAGTACTTGACCTGCTTCCTGGCTCGGCCCGGCCGCTCCCTGGACGGAGCTCTGACAGAGCCCTGGTTGTCCTCCTCCTCCTCCTCCTCCTCCTCATCATCATCGTCATCAGATGGAGGTTTCTGAGGTTTCTGCACAGAGAACAGATGATCAGAATCTCATCATTCAGTCATTGTGAGGGATGTGCTGGTCCAGGTCTGGAGGGTCCTGGTTCAGAACCACACTCACTCTGCCAACAGGTTTCACAGCTTTCTTCATGGGACTGTACTCGTCTTCAGATCCAGAGCCCTTCCTCTTTCTCCCCCGACCTTTATCTGCAACAGTTCAACAACAGTTGGAGCAGAGGGGCTTGACAGGATGAAATGTTCAGTTTGTAAATTTACAGTCAAAAATTACCACCAATATTTTTGTTTTATTTAACCTTTTATAAGAAAAAAGAACAGATTTATTTTTCAAAGTCAGTTTTTCACCATTCATACATTTATA